GATTCAGTATATACATACACCAATCAGATAGTCCATACCTCCGTATACAGTGTACAGCAGCAATCAGAGACTCCATCGATCGATGCTATGACTTAGTTTGGATCGTCTTCTGACCTGATGCAACATCCCTTAGCATTGCATGTGGAAGTAAGCGATGGCTAGGCATGTGTAATACATGTTCAAGCCAAGTCAACCGATAAAAGGTCACAAATTTCGATAGCGTAATTAGAAGACGAAGTTTATCTGAACAATATGTGTGTGTGTGATGTATTTGTGCAATACATTTTGAACAATCTGATCCCCCACATATTTATTTGTCTCAAGTCAATATACATTAAACCGAAGACTGAGGGGATAAGTACAACAATTAAGACAAGCAGGGGATTAAAATTAAGAAAGATTAGAACAAGTAGGACAAAGAGTGACATAGTTGCTTCTATGCAAGCAAGTTAGGTGTAGTGTACACGAACAAATTGTATGACTATGGCTTCCGCAAATCTCAGAATACATCCCTGACTGTTTGGACATTAACTTTGCGACCTGTTTCTATGATATGTTTAGCTATAGATGAAGAGGATCGTCTCCCACCAGCCTTTATCACTGTTTTTGAAGCTATTTAGGTACATGTTTTCCCACCCTCAAGTGCATGACTACTCAGTTACTCTTGCCTATGTGTATATGTGACCACACATACATGTAAATTGGTAAACACAACGGGATGTGAAGTAATAATCATGGGTGGAGGTTTAGGTTTTTGGTGAAGCATTTATTTTGTTTTCTCCACAATGTTAAGATTCACCACGTGATATGTTTTCTTGATGGCTGATGTCAGCCTACGTCTCAAAATGATAGTATTCAACTCCTTTCGGTATTGTAGAATGATATGGACGCTTTTCATAGGGACCATATATGGAGTTGGCTTTGGTGCTACTTGACCACCCTAACAACGATCGAAATAACCAATCAAATTTCTTTATTTTATGAATTGAATTGAATTTTGAGGGAGTTGTGGAGATTTGGAAATATTTCAAGTTGTTATTCATCGAAGACTGACATCAGTTGGAGGAATAAAGGAAACCTAGGAGCACTGGACAGCTGTTTCGTCCTAGTGTGGGACTCCTCAGCAGTGCGCACCCACGACCCCACTAGCAGGGATCGAACCCGCGACCTTCAGGTTCCGCAGCCAGCGCGTTACCATTGAGCCACTGGGTCACAATCCAATGCTCCATATTTCCAACTTCTGTTAGCTCACGATATAGCGCAAACCGCCACCCAATGTCATCGTTGAGTATCTGTCCTCACGGCCATCAGGTTTTGACTCCACCGGTCACGACTTCTCTGATGTCAGTCTTCGATGAATAACAACTTGAAATATTACCTAAATTGATTCAAGTAATCTGAGTATTTTCGTGGTCATCATCTTCCTCATAGATGAACTATTGAAAACATGAGGTACACTGAAATCTACAAATAAATCCCCATAAACCTCCCAAATTGAATGATTCTGCTGCTAGTTAGTTAAATCAGGTCGGGCATGACAACGGGTACTCAAGGATGGCATTGCATAGCGATCACGCTATATTGTGAAATTTCGATAACATAATTAGAAGATGAAGTTTATCTGAGCAATGTGATGTATTTGAGCAATACATATCGAATCATCTAATCACACATTTACTTGTCAAGTCAGTATATATTAAACCGAGAACTGGAGGGGGGATAAATACAACAATTAACACAATAGGGGATTAAAATTAAGAAAGATGAAAACAAACAGGAAGTGACATAGTTGGTCCTAATCTTGGTAAGAAAACAAAGTTTACCAAGGTAGGTGTAGTGTACACGAACAAATTGTTTTTGCACACATGAAGATCGTTTAAATTTGTGTATAGCTAGGGCTTCCGCAAATCTTAGTATGCCTCCCTGACTGTTTCCATATAAAACTTTGAAAGCTGTTTGAACACTAACATTGTGACCTGTTTTTATGATGTGTTTAGCTATAGATGAAGAGGGTTGTCTCCCATCAGGGTTTATCACTATTCCACTACTCCATTTATTTTTGAAGCCATTTAGGCACATGTTCTCCCACCCTCAAGTGTGCGACTACTCGGTTACTCCTATGTATGTGTGACGTAATAATCGATAGAGTGTTTAGGTTTTTGGTGAAACATGTGTTTTGTTTTCTCCACAATGTTAAGATTCACCATGTAATATGTTTTCTTAATGGCTGATGTCAGCCTACGTCTCAAAATGATACTATTCAACTCCTCTCTGTATGGTAGAGTGATATGGACACTTTTCTTAAGGATCACGTATACAGTTGGCTTTGGTGCTACTTGACCTCTACAACGGTTTATACACTTCATCGAATATCTACTTTCCATAAGTGTTTTGGTCAGTAATTTGATGCCTTCATCCATCGTATCTGGTGTACATTGATACGACACATCCTATTAAACAGGCATTTTATGAGACCTCATTTGTATTGGATTGGAGGAAAACTGTGGGAATTCAGGTATTGTTCTGTCCATGTAGGCTTTCTGTAAACTGACCGTCTTATTGAACCATCTTCTATGTTACTATGTCACTTCCTGTTTGTTCTCATCTTTCTTAATTTTAATCTGTTGTATTTGTCCCCTCACTCTTCGGTTTAATATATATTGACTTGACAAGTAAATGTGTGAGGGATCAGATTGTTCGAGATGTATTACGCAAATACATCACATTGTTCAGATAAACTTCATCTTCTAATTACGCTGTCGAAATTCATAAAAGGGACTAACTGTTTCAAAGTTAACAAATTTATCAAGTGATTTGCTTTTTTGCCGAATATACTTCGTTTGACTTCAATATTGCTCACATGATAATTCCATCAAATGGGTGCACTGCTACATAGACACCTGTAACTCCTTCATGTCTTCTAATTCCCACGACCATATGTCACAGCCTTATAACAGAACAGAGCGAATTTCAGTGCAGTATACTTGTCTTTTAAAAGGTAGTAGGATACCTCGCCTGTCGGCGAATGCCATATGAACCTTTTGTATTCAAGTTGAGCTGATGCAACTCCCGAAACCCTTAAACTGCGAGTAGTTGCAGACTAGTCTAGTAGCATTATCATACATCTCACAGGTGTGAAACGTATACCAAAACTACTCACATTTTTATTCGACATGTTCAGAACACTGTATTTTGTCAGCATCTTCTAGTAGGACAGTGTCGTCTGTATACTCCAAGTCAATCAACTAACCTCCAAGGAGTAAGCCAATCCCTTTGAAGTCAGACTTACTTAATGTTATGCCCCATTATCCCTAAGCGTTCAACTGTCAAGCAATCAGTCCCAGGTTCCACTTCACCTCGACCTGCTTTCGCAATTGAGTAGTGTCATCTTGGTTGTATTGTGTTCTCTGAGTCGGGTTGTTTAATCGTGGAGCTTTCATCGTCTCGTTTCTAGACAGTGACATCATCAACACTAACTTCAGTACGGAGTGACCTGTCAATATCTCTCCATGAGTGATTTAGTACTTTGCCCTGACGAACTGGTTTGTGATTGGTTGCTGTGTCATTAACTGTATAGATTGTTCTGTTGGCTGTTCCTCTACTTGACTTCTAACCTTTCTGTCGTTTATCATTTTTCTCATAAGTTGATAGATTGGGTTTATGTCTATGCATCTATTGATTGCTGACTGACGTGAATGCCAAGCTTCTAGGTGTTGGAGAACAAAGATATTCTTTGTGTTTTCTATGTCCTAAATTACCTAACTTTTCGCACTTGTCAGCAAGGCGTATCTACAACATCAAGGTCCGAACCCGCGTCACTGAGCGACGCTACCATTGAGCTATTCGCACCACGATCGATGCCTTGTAGGACTGGATTGCATCCATTAAGTCATCTTCAATGTTATCATTATCAACACACTTCGTTTCTTAAAACCTTTACAGAAAATACCTTGTGGAATGGATAGAAAAGCTTTGGCGTTTGAAGCGACGGTACTGGATCCGAATCTACTCAACGGGAACAACACCACTCACTGGGGGCGGATACATCCAGTTAACGCGTGCTGGATTTCGCTGTTAGCTATCAAATTAGAAAAACTTTCAGTTCACTACATAACATTATCACTTTGTATCTGGACCTGTTCCTAGGAAATTTGACTTTACAAACACCAGAATCAAAGTTAACACTATACATTAAACATTTATCCGCTAAAGAGTTGTATGGTTGACGCTACGGGTACTCAGGTGATTGAATCACATGATGAGACGGTGTACAGTCCTCGTTTAAAAAGCTCAGATGATCGTTTGTAATAGTTCTTCCCTTGAATGTATTATGATGCAGAAAGTGAATTTCAGTATTCTGAACTGGTGGTAGCTCATGAAACCCTGATCTATGACCTAAAACTAACGTATCATTGGGTCAAACTATACTCAGTTTACCAAGGTTTTGAACAAGTGTCATGCCGTACTGTATTTCATTGGCTGTCGTGTTCATATATAAGTATAATGAATGAGTTATAGCTGACTATAAGGTTTTTTTATCACCTTGACTATCTGAGATAGCCGTAGTTTGACAGACTAGTATTTATACTGGGTGATGATTGAAGGTGAGAGGGAAATCTGGATCGTGGCCGGATTCAAACCAGCGACCACCGGGTTTCCAGCCACTCCCCCTCTTTAATTCAGTTAAATTTGGATTGGCATAAGAAGTTTTGACTAGGCAGCCAGTGTGAATACGATCAAGCGGTAGTAACGCATCATGAATTCACATAATAGTAGGGCAAAACCCCACTTGTGATTGGAATGAAATAAATATGTGATTAGCACCGAATCTCGTGAGTGAGTTGGTAGAGCATTGGGTTGGAAACCCGGTGGTCGCTGGTTCGAATCCGACCGTGGTCCAAATTTTCATTTGACCTTTTTTGTTTAAAATATTTTAGTCATTGGATGCCTACATAACTTATTTGCACATTTATGCTTATACTAAATTTAACTATTTTTAGAGTGAATGTTGTGGATTTTCGGGTCCTCATATCTATGCTTCTTCAAAATGGAGATACAGTCATCCAAATTCCTCTACCTTAGTTGTTTTGGTACCGGATTCTTGTCGTACACTTGTGAGTTTAGAAGAACAAGTACTTCAAGACTTGAAAACAAAGTCTGATAATGATGAATCTGGTCAAGTGACTTTTCAAAAGGTCAGTTTAATTATATGTAAATGAAAAGCAGTTGCATCTGGGTCAGTTCTGTTTCATACCACTTCTAGTTTGTAATCACTGACTTCTAATCTTTATTGAACACTCATCAAATAATTTGAAGTTTCTTCTGTGATATGAAACCAACTAATGATCTTGGTTATTTCGGCTGACCTCCGAGTTCCATACGAGACTGCTTCTTGTATGGACGTAATCTTTCAACAGTCGTCTGTATCGCCTCCCCCTCGAAGAAACCCTTCTCCATGAAAACAAGCACCTCTGCCCCCTCAAACTAATCAAAGTTATCCCAGAACCCTGTCAACTATCAGGCTTCAACGCATCCAGATTTGCCGGGTAATAGGATTGTTTGACCGTACTTACGTCCCTGTCAGCAGACGTGCGTGGATGAATCTCACGGAGTCTCCACCACCTTGCGAACCTCACGACCGTTCGAAATTTACTAAGTATCCTTCCAGTCATTTTCATTTCAGTGAGTGGAACAAGTGTACCAACATGTTTTCCAGCAGTGTTAGGGCTTATGGAAAGTTACCATCTGAATTGACGACAACTAGTATTGTCCGTTGGGGAATCCCGGTGTCACCATTCCTATTTTATTTCGTTATAGATGTACTAATAGATGTAACTCTGACTTCACAGGGATCGAAATGTCCCCTGGAGGGCATTCGGTTGACTTGGAGTATGCAGACGACATTGACCTACTAGCTGAAAACGCTGGTAAAATGCATGATCTTCCGAACGCCCTGGCATGCGTTTCACTTGTACCTGTAAAATGTGAATTGATCCTCCAGGACTGGTCGGAAACGACTTCCAGTTAAAGGATCGGGAGTGGAGTGGTGAAGTGCGTCGACCACTTCACTTATTTGGAGAGTACCATCAGCTTGAACGGGCTATCTGCTGATGAAATCTCAGCTCGGATATAGAAAGCCCGTTTGGGATTTGCCAACTTGCATCATCCGTGGCGCCGGCAAGATATCCGACTGTCTGTTGAGGGACTGGTATACAGCTGTGAGATATGACCGTGGAAGGTAGAAGACATAAAGTAGTCACAGATTTCTCGACTACAGGTGTTTTCGTAACATTCCTCGCATTTGGTGAAAGCATTGTGTAAGCAAGGATGAAGTTGTGAATCTTCATCGGTTTAATTGACTTGGACATGTGTTGCCCATCCCGATCTACTGCCTACCTCGACATCCCATGCTACAGGAAATTGGATTAAGTTGGAAGAGAGTTCAAGGTGGCTAGACCAAGATATCAGTCTTTCATATCCACCTGTCGTTTGTATGTTGCTGTGAAGTGTTGCAACTTGAGCGATGCACTTGTGTACGAAGTTCTACGCTAATTTGATCTTTCTGTCTCCGTTAGAAATATCAGACCGACGTAATACCTTCGGGATATCTGATAATACTGTAGTATTAAGTACATGTAATTGAAACCGATGATACATTTGACATTCTGTCAAAAATCTACATCTGTGATCCATGTTTACATTTAACCGATTTAATCAGTTTAGCCCAAGGAGACTATTCAATCAATCAATCAATCATTATCAACATAGGACCAGGCATTGCTGCGTAACCGTCCGAGTTGCCACACCTCACATCAGTTAAAGGAGACTAGTCAAGGAGACTATTAGATGAGAAATATTCTCATTCCTACTTATTTCAGTAGCTAAAAGAATCTAATTCTAAGTGGAACATCTCCTGCGGCTAGTTAACTTCCTTCATGCTTTTATGGTTGTTGAAATGTGACCAACTAATGTTAGTTAGATGCAGGGAATTGGCAGGAACCTGTGGACCTAGATTTCGTGCATGTTGGCACACATTACCAAGGTGTACCGGGAATCCCGACGGAATTATATTCCACTTGAGATTCGAACTCACGCCACCCAGTGCTACGACGAGCTATTTGGACTGAGACTGACCTCTTATAGGGCTGGATTAGATACATTGATTGGTCACTGGGGGGTAATAAACTTCATGTTGTCTAGTCTGTATTCGCTAACCGAATTTTTTTGATTCTTTTTGAAATGCGACCGGCCAACAGACTAAGCAGCTAGCTCAGCATCGCGATGCACTTTGATAGATGTTAGTTGGATAGACGCAATCGGTGGTCGGGCATGGGAAGTGGTTGACCCAGGTTCCGTGCTTGTTGGCACTCGTCACCAAGGCGTATCCTCAAGCCCGATGGAACTGATGTTCCGTCTGTGATTTGAACCCACGTCACTCAATTTTGTAGTCAGCCAGCAACGTTACTAATGAGCTATTCGAGCCACAACTGGCCTCCTATAGGACTCGACTAAATACACTGATCGGCCATTGGAGGGGTGACCAACTTCATATTGTCCAGTCGTGAGTACTGCCATAATTATAATGGTAATTGTGTATTTCTCCCTTCAACCAACTAATATCAAAGTGCATCACAATGATGAGCCTCCTAACCTGTTGTTCACACCATAGAATGAGTGATAGAATTCGACTAGCACTTAACAACAGACCATATGGGATTAGTTACTATCCAGTAACAAGTCAGTGTAGTTAACTATTTGCCTCTATGTCGTTTTTATTATCCCTTTTAGTAATGACTATGATATCCTCTATTCTTTTTTTTTACAACAGGGGTGCTCAGAATTTCTTTACTCTCACATAGAATCTGTCCTAACTGGTGCCTTTGTAGTACCGGTTGTTTCCCTTGTGATTGTAGTAAGTTTTGTAATGTATGATATTTTAATTCTCTTTCCTATATCTTGGTTCATTTGCATATTTCCAATCCATTTATGTTATACTGTGTAAAAAAGAATCACCATCCTGATTATTTTATAGGATTGAAAATGCTCCTGATATCACTTGTTCCCTTGGGTTGCCTGAGGGGTTCGAGGACGTAGTTGTACTGCGGGCTGGACTGGACTATAACAGTACTAAATTAGTTCTTGGAAGATTAGAAGTGCTGCATTGATGCTGCCTTGCGTGTGAGAAGGAAGTGGTGGTTAGAAAAGGTCGACCCTAAAAACAACGCGCACCTCTCTACCCCGTGACATACTGGTGCCGGCGATATGAGTTTATAGTTGGAGTCGAAACTAACAAGCTTAAAACAGTCTGTAAATATTTGTTTGTTTGGTAAAATGTTTAGCCGTTTATGTCAAGGTTCAACCTAAAGGATTGTACTCTTCATCCCTTTGCATTTACTAATATATTCAGGAAGCGTGTTTTGGCCTGTTTAGGACTCATCAGCTGGATATACTTACCTCCCAGCGGTCGATGTTATTACCATTTAGTTGATAACGCTCTGGCATTTGAAGTGATTGGTTCTAGGTTCGAGTCTTGATAAAAAGGTAGGCACACTCAACTGATGAGTGCTGACCAGGACGAAACACACGTCCTGGATTCCATAGAAGCCCCATTTGTTAATAGAAACCAATCAATTCTATCCAATCAACGATGGGATAATACAAGCAACAATATAAAAGTATCTTGATATAGTTTATTCTATCAGTTCTTCTGTGGTTGTGAAAAAAAGAGGAAATATCTTGTGAACGAGTTTAAGAGGTTTTTCTCAAGGAAGATGTACTAATCAACTTGATTGCATAGCAATATAATGTGTAACTGATTAGCCTTCACCCGTTCAGTTAAACTTATTGACACGTATCTAATTAATACCATAGTAAAACTGGATGGAAAACAGGAAAGAAACGACTGTTTCATACTGTAAAATAGTTATTCCCATGAAATCAGTAAAAAAAAAATACAACAACAGGATTATACATTACATATAGTTTATATTTGTTTAAGTCACAGAGTCTTTAAAATAGGAATAATTTCACAGTTTCGCACGGAAGGTTGGTCTGAGCTTCTTCAGTGATCCCTCCTTCTTATTGTAAATGTATCCACATCTACTCGACCCCCCGCCGCACACACATACAATAAGAAATATACAATTTCACGCTGAATAGTTAGTAATCATGCTTCAAAGGAAAACAATAACTAAGCATAGAGAATTGGACAAGGAGATCTATGTACGCGTTTTTGATATTTTTGTTACGATTATTCCCGCACGTTGAAGAAGGTCAGAATCAAACTTTTGTATGAAACAACATTGAAATTATTTTTATTTCAGTTATGCTGTGAATTCTTTATCCTAGTATAAACTATATATCTAATGTTAACGTATTGTTTACTTAAAGCCTATGTAAATGTCATCGATAAAGTTGGTCAAGTGTTTTTATTTATAGAAGTAAATCGAAAAGTCAGTGAAATACCACTGGAAATTAACTGATATCTAATTGAATGTGGATTCTAAGAAAAGTTGACGTAATGACATCTTGATCTACTGAGATCATCGTCATTATATCCTTTTTTGTTTTGTTAATTCATATAAATATAGTTAAATTTTGAGGGAATTATTTCAAGTTGTTATTCATCGTAGACTGATATCAGTTGGAGGAATAAAGGAAACCTGGGAGCACTGGACAGCTGTTTCGTCCAACCAGTATGGGACTCCTCAGCAGTGCGCACCCATGACCCCACCCACAGGGGTTGAACCCGCGACCAGCGCGTTGCCATTGAGCCACTGGGTCACAATCCAGTCGTCCATATTTCCAACTTCTGTTAGCTCACGATATACAGCGCAACCGCCACCCAATGTCATCGCTGAGTATTTGTCCTCATGGCCATCAGACTTTGATTCCACCGGTTACGACTTCTCATTGGAACTTCGGGAATACTTCTTGAAGCTAGTCACCAATGAGCTAACAGAAGTTGGAAATATGGAGGATTGGATTGTGACCCAGTGACTCAATGGTAACGCGCTGGCTGCGGAACCTGAAGGTCGGGGTTCGATCCCTGCTGGTGGGGTCGTGGGTGCGCACTGCTGAGGAGTCCCATACTGGTTGGACGAAACAGCTGTCCAGTGCTCCTAGGTTTCCTTTATTCCTCCAACTGATATCAGTCTACGATGAATAACAACTTGAAATAAATATAGTTCTTTAAAGAGTGTTGATCTAGACTGTATTATTCAGTCTTGAAGGTAAAATATCAAATTGATCATCCTGTGTAGGTTTCTTTAACAGCTATTGAAATTCTCTTCATCAAATGTTTACTAAGACCGTAAAATGCTGAAATTGATATATAAAAAAAACAACATGTACACGTTAGTTGGATAGAGGCAATCTATATGAAGTCATGAACTCAGTTTCCATGGTTGTTGACCTTTGTGAACATGTCGTATCTGCAACCTTGATGGAATTGATGTACCACCTAAGGTTCAAACTTGCATCACTCAGTGCTATGATGAAAGATATTACTACTTGGCTATTTGGGTCGAGACTGACCTCCTCTAGGATTGTATTAGATATATTGATTGGCTACTTGGGGGTAACCAACTTCATGTTGTCTTCTTCTCTGTACTAATGAAATTTTATCGATCATTTTGCAATATGGCTGACCACTAGAATAGACAGCTGAGCATCATGGTGCACTGAAAAAGATATGAGTTGAATGGAGGTAATCGATGGTGTAGGGGGTGGGAAGTCATCGATCTAGGTTCCCTACTTGTTGACACTTGTAACCAAGGAGTATGTGGAAACCCGACGGAACTGATATTCTATCTGTGATTCGAACCCACGTCAGCCAGTATTGTAGTCAACTGGTGAGTTTACCACCGAGCTATTCGGGCCATGACTAACCTATACAACTGTTGGCTAGAAGTTAATCAACTTCATGTTATCTCCTAGTCATTTCTCAATATGACAGCTATCTCAGCGCATCACCATTCACTTTGATAGATGTTAGTTGTATGAAAGTAGTCATCAAGAAGTTATGGACAACTACATTCTATGCTTCTTAACCACTTGTCAACAAGGTGTATATGAATAGCTCGACAAAATTGATATCCCACCTAAGATTCTTAGTGTTTACACGTAATAATTCATAGGGACATTCATTTCATTTCATTGTATCTGTTACTGTTATTCTCGTTTTTATCTATCCTATTTGTTTATCTTTTCACTCTCTTCTTTCTTTATCATCATACTGCTGCTATTCGTGTATTGAATTGATTTGGACAATGTGTTATCATCATTGTGTTATTTTTTTGCGGGGGGGGGCGGAAAAACAACAACCACAACAACTAACACCTTTTAGGTTTTCTCATTTATCCTTGGATTTGTTTTGTGTAATTTCATTGAAATCGGAGAACATATATGAATGATGAACAACAATATGTTAGTGTAATCCTATAATATATAACTTTATATTATTGATCTCATTACAATAAAATAAAGTGAATCTCTCTCTCTATTTCTTTTTCAATTTTGCACCATGATTGATTTTGTGTTTTACATGCCTCCTTTTGTGTGTGTGTATGTGTGTGTGTGTGTGTATTTCTCTCTTCTTATCCTAGTCGACCTTTCTTTTTATACAAAAAAAAAAAACTTTTTTCTTTCTCCCAGTTCTAAATGATCAGAATTATAAAGTGTCAACATTCTTCTAGCAAACTAACTTACTTCTCATTTCGCTCAGTTAATTATGCTTACACATCAAATTTTTATTTATATATTAGAGTTAAATAAAAAGTGTACTAGTTACAGCTGATTTTCTTCCCTTAAGAACCTGTGTATAGTCCACTGATTTATACGTGTGTGTATGTGTGTGTGTGTATTGGCCTTTTATATATATATATATATATATATATATATATATATATATATATATATATATATATATATAGATAGATAGATAGATAGATAGATAGATAGATAGATAGATAGATAGATAGATAGATAGATAGATAGATAGATAGATAGATAGATAGATAGATAGATAGATAGATAGATAGATAGATAGATAGATAGATAGATAGATAGATAGATAGATAGATAGATAGATAGATAGATAGATAGATAGATAGATAGATAGATAGATAGATAGATAGATAGATAGATAGATAGATAGATAGATAGATAGATAGATAGATAGATAGATAGATAGATAGATAGATAGATAGATAGATAGATAGATAGATAGATAGATAGATAGATAGATAGATAGATAGATAGATAGATAGATAGATAGATAGATAGATAGATAGATAGATAGATAGATAGATAGATAGATAGATAGATAGATAGATAGATAGATAGATAGATAGATAGATAGATAGATAGATAGATAGATAGATAGATAGATAGATAGATAGATAGATAGATAGATAGATAGATAGATAGATAGATAGATAGATAGATAGATAGATAGATAGATAGATAGATAGATAGATAGATAGATAGATAGATAGATAGATAGATAGATAGATAGATAGATAGATAGATAGATAGATAGATAGATAGATAGATAGATAGATAGATAGATAGATAGATAGATAGATAGATAGATAGATAGATAGATAGATAGATAGATAGATAGATAGATAGATAGATAGATAGATAGATAGATAGATAGATAGATAGATAGATAGATAGATAGATAGATAGATAGATAGATAGATAGATAGATAGATAGATAGATAGATAGATAGATAGATAGATAGATAGATAGATAGATAGATAGATAGATAGATAGATAGATAGATAGATAGATAGATAGATAGATAGATAGATAGATAGATAGATAGATAGATAGATAGATAGATAGATAGATAGATAGATAGATAGATAGATAGATAGATAGATAGATAGATAGATAGATAGATAGATAGATAGATAGATAGATAGATAGATAGATAGATAGATATTTTAGACGAGGTTGTAGTTCATTGGTCCAATTGGTCATGATTTCGAATCCCCATTCATTGATCGATGTCTAGGTAGATGAAATGATGGAATGTGTTAATGCCTTCATTTACATGGGGAAATGCATCAACCTGAGCGCACTGGTTAGTGACGAAATCTCTGCACGGATAAAGAAGGGATGTTTGATATATGCCGACTTGTGTCGTTGAGGTATGAGACAAGTAGACTGCAGTGCAGTTCGTTGTATCCTGTTATACTTTCGTAGCATTGCCTGCGTATGGAGCAATCCCCATGTGAGTAATGTTGACGTCAGGAGAAAGGTATTGGACAACACAGACAAGAATGTAAAACTTAATCGACTGAGATAGCTTGGAAATATGTTCCGCACACCGAGTCACCACCTGCCTCAGCGTGCAATGCTAGACGAAGTTGGATTAAGTTGAAAGAGAGTTTAGGGTGGCGAGACTAGAATATGGCAACAGCTGATAAATTTCTCCACTGCTAGTCGGAGCTGTGTTCGAAAATGTAGTCTGCCGTGCTGAGGTTCTAGAGACGATAGGTATCAGTGGTTGATGGCTCTTGGTGACATGGTTGAAAACCGGTCATAGTGACATCTCTCAGACAAGTTTATCTACTTTGATATCATTGTTATTCTATATGCCTACCCGTTGTATACTACTGTGAAGTGTGCCACCTTGAACCAATGCACTTGTGGGGACATTCTGCGTTGATCTTGTCTGTCTAGGAAGACCTCACGCGTAGTCCATAACCCTGTGCATCGCTGCTGATTTCCTGGTATATTGAATCAAATACCATAAGCTTAATTATAGTATTTGTTATGTCATTCCATCCGACTTCTCAAGTCAGTAGAGAAAACGTCTTTACTGTTGCCAGAGTGGAAGGAAAAGTGGTGACCCCTTTTATTTTAAAACGGAAAATAACCACCGAAAGTAGTCATCCTCATTGCTCCATAGACAAGTTAATTACGACATTTGGGATTTCAGTTTTTTCACAAAAGGTTTTTATGGAAGTCTCCCTCTCACCATCTGCTCTCACAAAAGTTGATCCAATCACAGGAGAATCTTTGCTGGGTCTGGAATACGCGGATGACAAAACACAGTCCTCCAGACACCTTGAACTGTAATTTGAGAATGTTTGGGATGTGTTTCTTGCCGTCCAAATCCAAATTGTTCTTGCAGGACTACTCATTAGCAGTACCCTAACTAACAATGACGAGTGGAATGGTTGAGTACGTTGAACACTTTAATTACCTGGGAACTCAGTTCAGCGCTGACGAAATTTCTGCACAGATAAAAAAGGCTCGATTGGCTCTTGTCGTCTGACACCATCTGTGTTGCCGCCACGTTATTCCATTGTCTATTGAAAGACGAGTATACTGCACAGCAGTTTGCTGTATTTGAATATATCCCTGTGAAAGATGGCCATTAAATGTAGAGGACATGAGAAAGCCTCAGGTATTTGACCTCCTTCCCCGTCGCAGTATAAGCCGTGTGTTGTGATGTCATTACGTCAGTAACGTAGAATTCAGGTGTAGAGTTTTTGGGGAGAAGAGGAAAATCGGTTGACAAAGTTATGAACGTACATCGATTGAAATGGCTGCAACATATGCTACGCATGTTTTGTCGCGCAATGTTACGTGAAGTATATCCAAGCTGTAAAACAGTTCGGGGCGGCCAAACTAAAACGTAACATGCATGTATGAAGTTTTTGATTGTTGGCCTGAAGTATGCAAAGAGTTGCACACTTGAGGTCTGCATGATAGCATAATCCAATATTTGGAGACTCTTGGTGATATGGCTCAGAGTCGATGTCAGTTGTAGAGATATATCCACACATTTTCTTCATCTTAGTCGTTATAGTGAATTGGACACTTTCTCACTCTTCTTTCCTCTCTTCTTATATACTTTTGATTGATTCTTCTTCGTTCATCCAGTTTACAGTGTCTATTTAAAATAACTGACAAACAGCATTACCTAATCC